GGCTTCCAAATGATTTCTTAAATAGTTTAAGGAGGGTTGCAGCACCTGCAGATCTTAGAGAAGAATACAGGCTCTACTGCTGTCGTGAAAACCTAAGTCAATGATATCTTTGATATTCAAAATTTCTGTAGCTGTTCCACCAGTCAATCTAATATTGAAATACCTGACCTTCGATACCTACAGTGCACTTGCACAAGCACTTTTGCTGAGAGGACAGAGACCATGACATTAGCCCATACACTGCATGCCCCATGACTAGAATTCCACAGGTAAATCACCCTTTTTTCCCAGCACACACACAGAGTTCTCGAAGTTTCGTGTTTGTCTTATACACGCTTGGCATTTCAGAACATATTTCTGACACTTCACTTTAATTACCATTGTGTCAGATCCTAAGACAAGGAAGAGAACACTCAGGAAGTCTTAATGTGGATCATGTGGTGAACCTTTATTGCCCTTCAACTTTGATATTCCCTCCAGCTGTTTCCGATGTCGCCTATGTTCCCAAGAAAATCTGTGTGTAATTTGCTCACGCCAGTCGTCCGAAACTTGGAAATGGTTTTCTTCATGGCAGAACGATCTTACTTTACCCTACTAGACTTGCCTGCTTCTGTGGATACTTCTGTGGTTTCTAGTGCTGTAGCCACAATTTTGAATGGAAATTCACAACAATCTGCAGCGAGTTTGACAGTCCTATCAAGTTTATGTGTGGTAAACGTTTCCAGGGGAAATGTGGAGAGCATGTCTGTTTTGTCATACAACTGCCTGATTCCAGTCACGCAATCAGCTGGTGGGTCAGCTGAGTTTCCCTACACATGCAGTTCAAGATAAAAGGCTAGATCATATGGGTTTTCATCGACCACAATATTACCCTTTTTCTTGGTCATTTTATTTACGGGATCTTCGTATGTATGAGTGCACAACCCAATCTTTGTCTACTGCCCTCCATTTCTCGGGGAATGCCCCCACTTAGTTTCAGCAAGTTTCGTTCATATGGGAGCTGGGACCGGCGGCCATTTTTCTTGTGCTTGGGAACCAATAGCTGCAGTCACTGCAATCATCTCCATACTAGTTTCTTTTCAACTTGTCGATCGTCAGAGCTCGACAGTGACCTCCCTTCAACTTGGACTTTCAACTGATTTTCGTGGGATCTGTCACGCTCTTGTTCCCATTCTCCAATTTGCCAACACCCTCGGTCTCCTCCACGCGCCCACAAGGAGTCCTTTTTGCTGATTTCTCCCAATTCTGAACAAGATTTACAGGAGTCTTACAGTGCTTCTCTGAGACATTGAGGTAACCTGGTGATACTAGAAGTAGAAGTTTACAATTTCCTCCTCCCTTCCAGAAACACACTTTTACACATCTTAGCTGCCCCTCCTCCCAATTATGATGTTCCCCTGGGACGGGTTCTTTTCTGAGATTTTACGGCATGCTTTTACTAAGGTTCAGTTTGACCAGATCCAGTTAATGGCTTCATCCGATCCCATCTTAAATGGTAGCTCTCATGCCAGAACCTCCGTGGTGGCACCCCATTTCCTCAATTCTCCTTCGACAGTAACACTAACAGATGCTTGGGAGTCGAGTTGGGGGGCACACTTGGACGACCTGTCTCTCTCGGGATCTTAATCTCCATCAGAACAACACCTTTACATCTCCCAATTGAAGTTTCCTGCAGTTCTTAAGGCCCTCCAGCACGCTCCCAGCAGGATATCAAACAACTTCATCCAGATGAAAACTGACAATTTGAAAGTAGTGTACTACCTAAGCCATCGGGGGGACTCATTCACCTTCCCTGTACGTGCTAACATGGAAACTCCTCAGTTGGTGCATTCCTCATCAGATATTTATCCTTTCAAGCCTTTCACTTGTCAGAAAAGACCAACTTAATTGCAGATCCCATCTCATGGCTGTACAGTTCCCACAGAATAGACACTTCATCTCCCAACAGTCCAACAGATTTTTTTGGAAATCCACACAGTGACCTACTTGCAATTTGGACTCTTTCAACCAACATTAAAAGTGCTGCATCTGAGTTCGGAAAGTTTTCACCTCACTGCCTTGGTGCTTTCAGGCTGTCCTTCAGAGCAGCAGGCCTTTCAGAGGATGCTGCAGCCCTGGCAACCAGAAGCTGGGGAATCTGAACCATGAAAACTTATGACAGTTGCCTACAGCACTACTTCAATTGATGTTCACAGAAAGCTGTCAATCCAAATTCTGTGGTCTGTAATTGTTATTAGGGATTTCCTACTTTATCTCTTCAACTCTGATCTGCAAGTTTCCATCATCCAAGGTCACTGCTTTCAGAACCGTACACAAACATGGATGGTTCAGTCCAGTGAGTAACTATTCTCGGGATCAATCAGACCTTAATGCTGCATTGTATTAAATTAAAGGCAGTAAAAGAACAGGTGATAGCCTATGCAAGCCATTTACTTTGAAAACAGTTTTTTTTTGTTCAGACAAGTCTCATAGGTTTGTGCAAAGGGGCATCAAATGTTGTCCATATACGGAACTCTTTTCAAATGGGAGATAAGTAGTTCATGAATGTTGCATGGTGGAATACGATAAGGTGGAGTGTTTGCGGATGAAATGGAAAATATCTCTTTTGAGTATGTGTAGTTCTGAAAAGAACCGGTTTTTCGACGTTTCGGACAGTGAGCTCCGAAATGTTAAGTAACCGGTTATTTTCAGAACCACACATACTCAAAAAAGATATTTTCCACATGGTGTATCCTCAAACCCTCTACGTTAAATGGGAGATATTCAGTCTCTCTCCACTCCTTCACCAGTACGTTTGTAGACGAAGATGTCTTGAGGATGTTGTAGATCTTGGCCCAATTCAGATGCAAGCAGAAATATGCTCCACTATCTCAGCGTTCCTGCCTTTGGCAACATCAGACGCTGATGCAAACAAATCTAGAAAATGTACATGTTTACAACCCAAACAGCACAGATATATCCGAAATAAAACCACCCCCTTCAGGTTAAATCCTTTTTAGGCAGTCTAAACACCTTTCACTTCATAATAGTGTTTTGTATGACAGATCCTAAGCTTAATCCTTGACTGCAGCTAGTGGTGCCCTTTGTCGTAACATCGTGAATCTTTTCTGGTTTACATAATGAATTTAGACACAAAGGAGAAGAGAGAACAGTGTCAATGTTTCATCGTCATTTTGGCCATTTATTTACCATGATGTGAGAAAATTGATTGCAATTACTACTGTATTACTAAAGTACCTTCACCAGTAAGAAATCTTCTTCAATATTTAGTTGCATCTAGGCTACTAGAGATAACCACCATAGCTTTCAAATTCGAGAAATATGGAAGGGCTGCGTAGCACAGTGATCAGAATATCAACAAGAATATGATATCAAATCAGTTTTCTGAAATATGTGATGGCCGAGCTTTTGGTAACTGAGTACCTTCTTCAGGGTAAGCAGATTCAGTTCTGCTTGCATTTACATTGTAGCATTGTAGCTTTTACATTGTTGGTTTCATCTACAGATCATTTATGTTTAGTGATTACTAAAACGATCATGAAGTTTACAGTTAATACCATTCAGCCTTGATTGCCAGAACATGTTGTCTACGCATTGAACAGGAGGGGGAAGGCAAATCCTTTCTTTGGCCAGTGTTCTTCAAAACGATTGAAACTAGCCCAAAATTTTACAATTTCTGTGATTTAAGTTGCAAAAGCTACTCTGTCTGGGTATAACATGAATTTTCTGTTTTCATGATTTTGGAGACAACAAAAAATAGCACAAAGCAAGATTTTTGCCTAAGATTAAGAGCCGATCTTTGGCCAATCTATCTGGCCACTAGACTTTGTGCCAAGTTGATACTTGGTTTGGTTTTGGTCTCCATGCGCAAGATCGCTGGTAATCTACACATGAAATAAAGGGATTTCACATAAGTGCCATCTGTGCAAATCCGTGTCGAAATCAAACGGCCTCATTTCCAAATGCAGAAGTGCACAGATAGACGCAAAAGCATCGTATTGGGATCCTTTTATTAGTTGCTGCGATCTGCATGTTATACAGCAGATTGCAACTTGAGTAGATTTTGCATAGCGACCACCATCTCTGGAATGGACTTGTTCCTTTGTGCCATTCTTTATCCATTGAGAAACTGAACACTGAAATGGCCAAGTCAAATTCCTGACCTAAATCCAATAGAGAATCTGTAGAGGGAGCCGTACACTGGAGTGATGGCCAGAAGACCATCCAACAGGACCCAGCTGGAGGCTTTTGCCAAGGAAGAGTGGACCAACATCCCACATGAGACATTCAGAAAGCTTGTGGACACTTATAGGAGTCATCTTGAGGCAGTCATACAAAAGCAGTCATACAAAGGCAATGCTGTTGCCTATTAAGCAAAGACAATAGACTATGTAAACCTGGGGTATGAATAATTTGAACAGGAGCAAAAAAGAAACCTGAGCCGTATTTATTTTTATGCAAATGAAGTTTAGCCAACACGCATGTGGGTTTGTGTATTGCAACAAACAGACAAAACACGTTGTGGAAGGTACCAACATGGTAGCTTTACAATTGAAGAATTTAGAAAAGTATATTATTTTCCAAAGGATATGAATACTTTTTAGCACAACCGTAAAATAAATATTAAGAGAGGCCTGTACTGGCAAATCCTAAAATACTGAATAGCGGGAACAGCAGACCATAAAAGGTACATGTCGGTGATATAGTCTTCGCAACATAACTAGGTATATTGCACTGTAATACACAATTGTGTTTACAATCAGAGTGCAGAGAAATCTGTTATCTTGTGTCCTTGAGCTTTGTTCACTCTAATTCATTTCTTCCACATTTGAACAGGCAGTTGAAAAGTATTTGACTTAACTTGTTTGTCACTTCCCCTGAGACATTGACCCAATTTGTGACATGTAGGCCATCGTTCCTCATGTAAGACAATTTTTTTTCTTCACGTTGCCAATAAAATTTATTTTACAGTTTTTCCAAATGTCTGTTTCTTTTTTCAGGTGCAGCATGCTATGGCTTTGATACTTTTCATTATTCAGCGTACTTCACTGGACTGAAATCCCCCAAGATTGAAGCAATCCCCTGTATGCAAAAGACTAAGTAATTGAAAATAAAAGTTTATCTCATTTGATTTAACATGTACAAGTTGTTTTTTCAGATAAAAGGAAGTAGTCCTTTTTCATGTATGTTTACTATTGATTTTGTTGCAGTCATGATCTGTGTTTCCACCAGTTCCTATTTCTGTCCCGGATTTGTGATATTGCCTCACCTGTTGCATTCCAACTGATACTGTAAATGAAATGAGCCTGTCAAATTGTTTAAGTACTTTCTCTGTACACAGCTCATCACCATGTCCACTGATCATTGGCTTGATAAACTTCTAGTTTTGATGAAGTATCGGAAATTATGGAACTTCTCTGTTTGCTCATGTATGAGTGATACTTATTTTAATGATCACTTTATTGTCCTTTTTTTTACACAACAACATGGATTATGTGACTCTTTTGCCAATGCTTTTTTGATTAATAGTAAATTAATTTTGGATTTTGCCCTGCCTGATGTGTATTTAATGCTATATACTCAGTGCCTGCCCCCTAAGGCTTGTGAAAAAACCACAAGTGTACTCGGGTGGGACTCGAACCTTAAACCTCCTGCTTACTAATGCACACATCTTAACCACTTGACCACCAAGCTTGTTGGTTAGCATTGGATGTAGCAGTGGGTACCGCAAACAACTATTTCAAAGATTGGTATGCACCGGGAAGATGTAAATTAATTTTGGATTTTTCAGTGTATCCCCCGAAGGTTTGTGAAGCCGACACCAGCAAGCTCGGTGGTCGAGTGGATAAGACATCTGCACTAGTAAGCAAGAGGTCGTGGATTCGAGTCCCATCCATGTACGCTTGTTTTTTTTTTTTTTCCACAAGCCTTCGGAGGCATACATTGAGCACATAGTTCTAAATACACGTCGGGCAGGGCAAAATCCAAAAGTAATTAATCTCCCCGGTGCAAACCCTTCTTTGGAATAGTTGATTGATTAATAGTTTGGCATTGGGTACATCCATGACAGATCTGGGTGTTTTGCCTGTTTCTGTGTCAAGCAATTGTTGCTTGATCACCTCTGTGCTTCCCGCACGTAAGCTCTGGTTGTATTTAGTAGATATCCACAACAAAATTAAGTTCAAGATTATTTTAGACAATTGACTTGAACGTTATCAAAATTATAGTAATGTAGTGTGACAAAAATCACTCTGCCTTCAAAATAATTCCACAAATTAGTCAAATGTCTTATTGTAGAAGTTACTCTTCGCATAGAAACACATTCTGCACTTTTTATTTTTGAAGCCGTGATAGCAGACTAGCATTTTAGAACGTACATAGTAACCTATGTACGTTCTAAAATGCTAGTTGGGTACATCCATGACAGATCTGGGTGTTTTGCCTGTTTCTGTGTCAAGTAATTGTTGCTTGATCACCTCTGTGCTTCCCGCACGTAAGCAAATTAGTCAAATGTCTTATTGTAGAAGTTACTCTTCGCATAGAAACACATTCTGCACTTTTTATTTTTGAAGCCGTGATAGCAGACTAGCATTTTAGAACGTACATAGTAACCTATGTACTCCAGGGACCAACAAAAGAGATTAACTAAATTTAAATAATGTTTTGGACATAAATGTGATAGAGACACCCAAGTAATATCAGAAATAAATGGGATAATTTTGAGTTGTGCTCTGAATACAAAAGCTGTTTCCTCGAGCAATCCTTCTCATGGTATGTTACTTACTTACGCCTGCGAATTTTATTAGTTGACTACTTCTTCTGATGGTGAAACCTTTCTGGTGAGCCAGGACTGCCTCAGTCTCCCCACCCCTACCCTTCGACCCCTCATAATTAGAACAATTTGAATTCCCCGTTCCTCGCTTTGTCCCCAGCCTCCTTCGTTGAGAACGATACCACAGAAAACAAAGACAGTGCTATTATATGGTGAAATCTAACTCGTGGCCGCTGATGTATAATTACAGTGAACTTGAAAGAAATTGCTATCTAGAGAGAATTGCAAGGTCCTTTACTAACGACCGACATGGCAATAAATATATACTCGTTGTTGGCGACTTCTTCACTAAGTGGACTGAGGCATATGCGATACCTGATCAAGAGGCAATCACGATTGCCACAAAAATTGATTTAAATTTTTCTGCAGATTTGGTGTGCCCCTACAACTTCACTCTGATCAAGGCCGAATTTTTGAGTCTTGTGTGTTCCAAGAAAAGTTTCCGGAAGTTAGGGGATAGACAGAAGGAGAACTACCGCCCTCTATCCACAACCCGATGGCAAGATTGAGCGATTTAACAGAGAATCCTTCAAGCGATGTTGTCAATGTATGTAACCGAAAGTCAGCGAGATTTGGACCGTCATTTGCCTTATGCTATAGCGTACCGCACATCCGTACTTGAGACTACAGATTGTACTCCAAGTGAAATGATGTTGGTCAGAGACATCCAACTACCCGTCGATTTGTGAACAGAGCAACCTGCTGCAGGTGAGAGTTGTTTTCCGACTCAAAATTATGCCCGCGACTTGCAGGAAAGACTAGAGCAAGTACACAGATTTGCCCGTGACCGTCTGAAAATAGCTAGTAATCGGCTGAAGAAGAATTACGACCACGAAGTCGAGGGAGAAGGATTCATTCGAGGAGCTGCAGTCCAAAGAGGGAGAAGGGATTAAGTTTGAAGTTGCAGCGGCCATGGAAGGGCCCGTATCTCGTCACAAAACATCTGAGTGATATCATGTACTGTATACAGATTTCCAGTAAGTCCAAATCAAATATAGTGCATAGCAACCGTCTGAAACCCTACCGTGGAGAAAATCCACCAGTTTAGCTGCATCCAAGAGAAAGTCGAGAAGACGAGCGTGAACCAGACGAGCAAAATGAAGGGGAGAGTGATCAAATGTGACGAATTCAGAGGAGCTGGAGGTGTCCACAGAAGTGAAAATAACCCATAGAAATCCCCAAGTAAGAGAACGAGTTACTCAAAACAGCCAGAGGACCGACGCTGACCTGAGAAGTCAGCGCACGAGGAAGGTTCCAAAGAGATATGGACACTTTTAATTGCGTGTTAGCTCGCTTCCATGACTTCCATGAACTTATGAGTTTCTATTGCTATGTGTATTTGAAGTAAACTACGTACAGTCAGTCCTGACTGGCCAGCAGCACGTAACTGGGGGCGTTAAGAGGTGGCCGCGCTCAACTAATTCCCAGGGGCATATGACGTAAGGAGGGAAATTAGCATAGTTAGCGTCCTTTATCTGATAGCGGGACTTCAAATAATCATTTTGCCCCAGTTTTTCGGACAAGTAGGATGCACAGAGCGATAGTTGGAAGTACATGACGGCATTGCCGAGGGTGGTTTAAATACTTTCGCGACCTACAGGAGCATCTTCAGAGATTCTATCGAGGCCCGATAGACACAATCACAACGGCAGAATTTGATACGCAATCAAGGAAGCTGGAGGCGACGCACCACATATCATCAAGGGCGAAACCTGGCAAGGCTGAGGGGCATCACCATAGGGGAAGCCACGCAACCGACAGATCCAGGCCTAAGGCACAGAGTGAAAGGGCACCGATGGCCGCTCTAAGTCGCCACCCCAGAAACCAAACTGGAAAGATAAATTTGGAAAGACGGGTGATACTGGACCCGAGGCTTCCACCAGACAAGAAGACTGTTTGGAGCTACACCCCTCACCAGCCAGAGAGACGAACCAAGAAAGAAGAGCAACCATGACCTGAGATCTTGAAGAGCTGTAGTGGGTGTACCAAGTTCTCAACACACTTCAGACACCGCAGATCAGCCCACTGGCTTCCCCGCCTACTGTGGACAGCCCCCCCCAAAAAAACCTTCCTTTCTTCAGCAAGCATGGATAAATGGTTAGAGGAGGTCAACCTTGTGGATTTCTCCGACTCAAAACAACCCGACCCGCTCCTGAATCTGAATGGTCAGCAAAATGTCCTCCGAGACACATCCACGCTGACATCTGAGAAGCGCACTGCGTGTGGAATGACAAGACCAAATCATTTAGCGGTGCTGCTTTAGCTTGGATTTGAATAAATCCAGTGAAGAACTATTTACAAAGACAGTGGGTAGATTGTTCCTGTCTTTTATAGTGGAAACAAAAGATGAGTCCTGGAATGCTTTAAGACTTATGACGAATTTGTAGAATTTTTTTTATCATTCCCCCTAGTTTTCCTAGTGTTAGGCTGGACGAACTCATCTAGGTTAACGCCAACCTCCTCTTCCCATGATGAGTTTCTACTGTCCAGCGCACCAACCCCTCCGCCCCAGCAAGACGCAGGCCATGTCCCTTAAGAGATCCTGGGAGATGGAGAACGCAAGGAGGACCCCCTAAGACAAGTGGAAGTGGATGGAAGCCAGCAGAACGACCTGCCACCCGAGAGGCAGACAGACCCCAGTAGTGCAGCCCGTCTAACCCCGTCTATTTTGCCTCCTCTCTGACGGGCTGTCGACCAATCAGAATGCTGGATTTTGTACCACGTGACCCTCATTAGCATAAAACGATGATCTGGAATATTCCATTGTTCACGGGGTGTAGGTAATGTGTGAGGGGAAGGTCACAATATTAATAAATACAGGAACGTACCATTTTGTTTGTTGGTCTTTGTGATCGATATAATCTGCTCGAGAGAGCGAGGTAATCTCGGGTAAGTCTTGAAATAAATACAAAACTGCATGTAGAGTACAGTAAATAACATATCTCTTAAAACAGTGATCTTAATTGATGGCCCTTTTTTAAACACAGATTATACTTACGTGGGCCGGCTGGGTATGTAGGTTAGAAACGCATTTATACGGTACATGTATACGCATGCATATGTATGCACTCAACAAACCCAGAGGGTCTGTGAACGCAGGAACCTGCTACTTGTACCTACGATAAATTATATGGTACGTCAGCCCAAATTGGGCGTTGTGTACAGCAGCCTTATTGTTTGCTGGGGGGGGGGCGATTGCAGTGACGTCATAGTGCCGAGTCATCGATAGACGTAAACAACTGGACATGTCCGAACATGTCCAACGGGAAGGTCCGACATACGCGGCGTTTTCAAGCGTTTTGCATTCGCAGGAAAAGTTAGTACATTTCACAAATTAAAAGCATCGTTCTTGAACCTCCCTGCGGTTGGATGCATTTCTTGTGCTAACCCTGTTAAGTTGTGAACAAAATAATGTACTTTGGGCAGGCCGGACGTGTGTGTCTACTGTGATTAAGGCCAAGAAATAAAAGTAGGTTCATGCCATTCATTATCGAACTAGGAAGTCTTTGAAACAAAGGCGTTTATTAGCTCGGACGTTTCAAGTTGGGTGTTTTAAACTTATGCAAGTAGGTAGTGCATAATAAAGATCAGGAAGCTAGTACGAAGAATGATATTACGGGACCGAACTATTTTGGTGGATTAACATGTACATGTTTTATCGATGTTCATGTGCGTGCATGTAGTCAAGTAAAAGTAATAGATTCCCACGATAGGATTGTGTTATGGTTTAAGCGTGGAACTCAAGAGCTTTTGACCCCGTCTCGAAGACGTTTTAGAGCCAACTTACTCCATTCATAAAACAAATATAAATCCTGTCCCGTGTAACTAACGGGTTCGAAAGT